TTTTCAATTGTAACTTGTATCGGTAACTAGTTACTTTTCTGATGATGTAACTGTAACTGTAACTAGTTACAAAAAATAAGTAACTATTACAGCACTGATTATTTCTCGGTTAGAGCAGGATGAATATTATTCTTTAATGAAGGAAATAATATTGCTTTTTGCAAATACACATCACAGTATCAACGCTACTGTTTTGTTACGTTTTGTTCCAAAAATGTTGGATGTCTCTGGGGAGTTGCTTGTTATTTCTTATGGAGTTGTATGGTTTGATTGTGTTTCATTCTCAGTTTATTCTGAACTTGCCAAGATTAAAAAAAGGCAAAAGAGTTTGAGTGTTCTTAACAAGATTTCAAAACGTTGCAGAAGTTAGAAGAGCTTCACAATTCCATTGTGACAGCATGCCCTAATTCCGAACTACGAACGATCCATGACGATCCTTCGCGATGCAGTGGTCAAATGAAATAAGGAAACGTATTCGTGCTAGGAACACACACGGATTTCGGACGAATAAATCTTGCTTGTATTTTGTATATAATAATACTTTGTTTCATAATAAACAATTTGTCAAGTGTCATTTATTTACTGGTAATAGTGTATGTTTTAGTCGGGCAAATCTTGATTAATATTTGATACGCCGTTTTTTGCACATTTCAGACACATCCAGAAATATGCTCCCAAATTTAAACATTAATCTCCGTGAATTTTTAAATGAAATGCAACTGTAATATATCAAAATCTAAGTTAGTCCTTCCTCTATTTGATGCAAGTTATTTCTCTTTAAAAGCTTTACTTGTTTAGAAGTTATTACGAATCAAACCGGAGTACTTTTTTTTGGGACACCCGGTATAGTTTGGCGTGTTCAAATTTATCTCAACCTATCTCAACGAGGAGAAAACACTATTTTAAATACGTCCGCGCTTTAAATTTTGCAAATATTTTCTGATCGCTCGAGTGAAAGTTTTGCCCTGATATTTTCTTTCAACAAGTGTTCAGTAACAAATAACACAAGCTATTACATGTGATATAACTTATTAAATAATATTTCAAATTTTAATTAACGAAACATAATTCCTTAGCAGACCAATCTACACGACCAGCGTGACAAGACGTGCCTAAAATCGCTCTGCGAAATTGTGAAATAATTTGTTCAAAATTAGTGAAATGAGTTCTGATCAAGGCAAAGGTGGTAGCGTCCTGCACGGTATATCAATAAATAATAAAGGAAAACTGATATGGACCGAATCTTATCAATTATTACAGACATTTGTCGAAGAAGTACTGAACTTATCGAATGGCGTATGGTCTTGCCCTGGTGGGGACGCGAAACAGTATAAAGCTGAAGATATCGATATAAGATGGTACCCGGAAACCCAATCAATCACGTTAAATGGAAAGGCTAAGGACGAGATCAAAGAAAAGTTGCTCTCTGTAGCTGCTATACAAGTACAGTTGGTGAGCACTGTAAATGAAGATTTCGACCAGAACGGCCATGTTGATGAGATCATAACCCACTCTTTCCGAAAAGACAATAGCACTCTTTCCCTAGAGACTCTCAACAGTCAATTAGAAGCCAAAGACGTCAATGCAAATGCGACAGCCATTAAGTTGTTTACCGAACATGCTAATGAACACAATACAGAAATGGATAATCTAAAGATGGAAAATCACAAGCTTATGAATGAAAACATTGACCTCAAAAGCGAGAACAACAACTTGAACGAGAGAGTGAACAATCTAAACTATACCTTGGCAGATTTGCAGGGAAAGGCCAAAATCGCTGAGGATGAAAAGGATTCCCTAATTACTGCTATGCGATTACTCATCAAAAACCTCAATAACAAAGATTTGAATCACAAAGAAAGTGTGCCAATAAATGCGAATCGTAACGAAGAAATGGTACAAAGGTGCCCACAAATGGCAAATTGTTTACAGCAGACAAACGAAGTGTCAAACAAAGTGATTAATCCGAGTATTAATTTAAGCAATAGGTATTCCGCCCTAAGTGCTGACGAAAACGACGTAAGCGATCGCAATGCCCGGGATGCTGTAAGAAACGAAGTAGAACATACATATGCAAATACGCACCGATCAACGCAGACACCCAATCGTAAGCAAAACCAATCGCACAATACAGAAATGGACAGGAAAAATTCAACTCAACATCGCGATAATCAAACGAAACAACGGACTGACCACCGAAATTGTCCCAACGTAGTCATAGTGGGAGACTCCATGATCAAACACATAGAGCCGGCAAAGCTCCGACAAGGGCTTAAGAGTGGAGTAACATTCAGAACTTTTGCGGGAGCTAAAACAGAAGATATGAAGTACTACCTACAACCTACATTAAAAGCTAAGCCTAGCCATCTTATTCTTCATGTGGGAACTAACGACCTCTCCGGGAAATCGCCTGAAGAGATTGCTCAAAATATTTCAGAATTGGGGAAAGCCGCGACTGAGCAAGTACCTGGTCTCAAGCTCAGTATATCAGAAATTATAACGAGATCCGACCGTGAAGACAATGATCAGAAGGTACAAAAAGTAAATTCATTAGTCGAATCGACATGTTATCTACAATCATGGGAATTTGTTAAACACTCGAATATTAATAAGAGTCACTTAAATCAAGGAGGGTTGCACCTAAATAGGAGAGGTACTGCTGTACTTGCCCAAAACTTTAAACACTGTATCAGGACCTCTGAGACAAATTGACTGATTGAGAACCCTACGCCAAACTCAGATACAACGTTAAATTCGCCTCATATACAGCCAAACTCCGAATATGATTTTGGTTTACTTGATAATCTAATTCCTAATGAGCGTGGCTTCAAAATTGCTAATCTCAATATTAATAGCCTTTTAAAACATATAGACGAATTACGAGTATGCATGACTAAACAACAACTAGATATTTTAGCAATCAATGAAACTAAAATGGATTCTGATGTACCCCTAGATTTAATTTCCCTGGAGGGCTATACTTGGGTTTTTAAGAATAGGAATAGATCTGGTGGGGGTGTTGGTTTCTATACATACGAAATACAATTAACTTTTTGATAAGACCTGACTTGGGTCATCATGATATTGAAGCTCTTACGATAGAAATTCATAAATATAAAACCAAACCTTTTCTAGTTTCAACGTGGTACAGACCACCTAATTCACCCATTGACTTGCTAACAAAATTCGAAAACATTCTACGGCTTATTGATACGGAAGAGAAAGAGAGCATTATCCTGGGTGATATAAATTGTGATCTATTACACAAAAATCTAGATCATGTGACGAAAGAACTCAATTTCATTACTAATTTATATCAATACAAACAATTGATAGACGAACCTACAAGGGAAACTAAGAATTCGGTATCTTTAATTGACCATTTCTATACCAATAAAAAGGAAAATATTATATTAGCAGGAGTCTCCAAAATAACGATTAGTGACCATTATTTAATATATGGCATTTTGTCATTCCCATCGTTAAAAGGAGAGGAACATATTTTAGAGTTCCGTGATTTCAAAAATTTCAATGAAGATAATTTCCTACGCGATATAGCATCGTCCGAAAACCATAATTTGGATTCATACACGGATTCCAACCGAATGTGGTATATTTGGAAAAATAAATTTACTGAAATTATTGATAAACATGCACCACTTAAAACCCGTAAAATTGGTAAGAAGCGTACCCCTTGGATTACGAAACAAGTACTTCATAGTAAGCGAAATAAGAACTTATTAAAGAAAAAGGCCTTGAAATCTAAAAATGAAAATGACTGGCAAATCTTCAAATCAGCTAGAAATTCTTATAACAAATTAATTAAGTCGTCCATTCGCCATCATTATAGTGTTGAGATTAGGGATAATCAAGGAAATACTAAGAACATGTGGAAAACTATTAATAACTTGATTCATAAATCAAAAAAATCTCAAAATATAACTGAGATCCGTAACGAGAATGGTGAAATGGTTAATATTCCAGGCATACCTAATGCATTTAATAATCATTTCACTGATCTTGGTTTCATTCTTTCCCAAAACATCTCAAGTTGCTCTATTCCACCAGAGAGTTATATCAGTGAATCAATGCAGGAATTTATTTTCTGTGAAATAACTGAACAGGAAGTTTGCCAGTTATTATCATCATTATCATCTACTAAGGCATCGGGCCTAGATGGATTACCAGCAAAACTTATTAAACTGGCCTCACCTTACATTGCTAAATCGCTGACAACAATATTTAATAGGTCTATATCCACCGGCATATTTCCATGTGAGTGGAAAAATGCAAGAGTCACCCCAATTTACAAAAGTGGCCCTAAATCTAATATGGATAATTATCGACCTATATCTACACTGCAAAAAATCAATTTCTTGTTTTAAGAAAATATTACTTATTTTAAGCACAAAATTACTTGTTTTAAGAAAATTTTACTTGTCCCGTGGGTAAGTAAAATATTCTAGGTAAGAATCAGATTTCAAGAAAATTTTTCTTAAAATAAGAAAATTAATCTTGGTTAGAACAAAATTCTTGGTAAGAAAATTTTTCTAATTTTGTCCCGTGGGTAAGCAAAATTTTCTTATCAAGAATATTTTTCTTATTTCAAGAAAACGTTCTAGCAAAATTTTCTTATTTCTAGAAAAAAATTCTTAGTTTACCAAGAATTATTTTCTAGTAATAAGAAAATTTTGCTAGAACGTTTTCTTGAAATAAGAAAAATAATCTTAATAAGAAAATTTTACTTACCCATGGGACAAAATTAGAAAAATTATCTTGAATTGAAATCCTGCTAAGAAAATTATTCTAGTTCGATCCGGTGTGCATGGCTTTTAAGTTAGAATATTTTTCTTAAATGACAATATGAAACTAGAATAATAATCTTGGCATGATTTTTTGCTGTTGTCATCCTACAATATAAAAACAATTAAGAATGTTTAAAATCATATATTTACCAGCTATACATGAATAGGTTATTAAAGTAATTACTGATAGATAAATGTAAAAGTTCTCACACGTAGCAATATTGTTCAATTTCTTGAAAAGCCTTTACCATGTCAGACTGCTGAGTCTGGATGGATAGTCTAAGTCGAGCAGGTACAGTAGAACAACGCCAGGAAGTAAAGATGGCTTTTACAGTTTCGCTATTCTCGAATGTTGCCAATAGCTCCATGTCATGATCAGCCCTGATACAGTATGTCATTGGGTCTCATTTGCAGCCAGGTAGTCAAGTCTGTGTCTCCTTCCTTTTGAGGAAAAAAAACCACAAAAATAGTTTTGGTAACAACTACACAACCCTCATTAATTAACAGCTTATGTTTTCACTAACAAGCTTACAAGCTAT